TTATTTCTTCTTGAAGTATTGTCCCCTTGATCATAATGTAGTGACCATTGGGGTCTCTTTTATCTTTTTGAGTTGAAATCTGTTTTATCTGATATAAGTATAGCTGTTCCTGCTTTCTTTTTTGGTCCATTTGCTTGTAGGATAGTTTTCCATCCTTTAACTTTCAGTCTATTTTTATCTTTTGTAGCTAAATGTGTTTCCTGGAGACAGCGAAAGGTTGGGTTTTGTTTCTTAATCCAGGCTGCAACTCTGATCATAATGTAGTGACCATTGGGGTCTCTTTTATCTTTTTGAGTTTGAAATCTGTTTTATCTGATATAAGTATAGCTGTTCCTGCTTTCTTTTTTGGTCCATTTGCTTGTAGGATAGTTTTCCATCCTTTAACTTTCAGTCTATTTTTATCTTTTGTAGCTAAATGTGTTTCCTGGAGACAGCAAAAGGTTGGGTTTTGTTTCTTAATCCTACCTGTGATTCTTTGTCTTTTTATTGAAGAGTTTAGTCCATTTACATTTAGAGTTAATATTGATATGTTAGCATCTGTATTTGCCATTGTGTTGGTCTTTCCTTTGATTTTATTTATTTATTCTTTCAATAACTTTTTTTTTTTTGCCTTCTTTCGTTGTTATTCGTCCCTCTGAGATTCTGGTTTAGGATTCCTTGTAGTATTTTTTGGAGTGGGTGTTTATTCGTAATGAAATTCCAGAGTTTCTGTTTGTCTGGTAAGGTCCTTATTCTTTCTTCATAGAGGAAGGAGAGCTTTGCAGGATAAAGTATTCTTGGTTGGCATCTGTTTTCTTAGAGTCTGTTGACTATGTCCCTCCACTCTCTCCTTGCCTGTAGTGTTTCTTCGGAGAAGTCTGATGTCAGCCTGATTGGTTTTCCTTTGAATGTTATCTGTTTCTTCCCTCTTGTCAGCTTCATTATTTTTTCCTTGTCCTGGATTCTTGGGAGCTTTACTATTATGTGTCTTGCTGTAATTTTCCTTTCGTCGTGGAAGTTTGGTGTTCTTCTTCTTCTTGTATATCAATTTTCAGCTCCTTCTTCACATTTGGGAAGTTCTCTTCAATTATCTCTTTGAATATTTTCTCTGTTCCTACATCTCTTCCTCTCCTTCTGGTATTCCTATAACTCATATTTCCTTTTCTCATGGAGTCAGATTCTACCCGAAATCTTTCTTCGGTCTTTTTCCTTCGTACTTCTCTTTCCTTTTCTATTTTGGTTCTTTTTATTTCTGTGTCTTCAAGAGTACTTATTCATTCTTCCATTTCATCTATTCTGCTTTCATTGCTTTTCCCAGAGTTCTTTAGTTCCTCCATTAATTCTTTGATCTCCTGCGTTTCTTTTGCTTCCCCCTTTAGGGACTCAATTTCATTCTTCTGATCGTTGATTGTTTTTCTCATATCATTGTTTTCCTTTATGAGTTCTGTCACTTTTTTTAGTCATGGCAATTTTAAATTCTCTTTCTGGAAGCCTCAGAAGTTCTTCCAAGTTACTGTTGTTGCAATCTGGGGGTGGTTTTCTTTTTGTGGTGTGCTTCTTTCCTGAGGAGTTGTTTGGTTGCGTGTGGTTCTTCTACTCCCTACTGTCTGTTTTCTAATTTGTCGTATGCATTGGAACACTGTGTTCCTGGCACTGGCCGGCATCTTGGGTGAACTTCTCCGCTCCCCTCTGGCTCCTCTGGGAGCCATCTGCCAGTTTCAAGCAGTCTTTACTGAAGAAAGGTCCCTGTTCTAAAATGTCAATTTGGGGACACACTCCCCTGTGCACTTGGTCTGCTCTGGAAGTGGGTTCCCGCTCCCCCTCTGGGCTTGGACTGCAGGCCAGAAGGGGCCTGGTGTGGGTGAACTTCCCCGCTCACCTCTGACTCCTGAGGGAGCTTTCTGCTGGTTTCAGGCAGTCTTTACTGAAGAAATGTCCCTGTTTTAAAATGGCGATGCGGGACGCACTCCCTGCGCGTCCGGTCTCAGGCACACTCTTCTGCGTACCCGGTCTGCCCTGGCTATGGGTGCCTGCTCCCCCTGTGGGCTCAGACTGCTGTTCGGAAGGGGCCTGGCGTGGGCTAACTTCCCCGCTGGCCACTGGCTCCTCCGGGAGCCTTCTGCCATTTTCAAGCAGTCTTTTCTGAACAAAGGTCCCTGTTCTATGGGGTGTTAGTGACTTTTTTTCTGGTCGCTAGGTGGCGCCAGACATCTCTGCTATTGTTCTTGGTGAGCTGTTTTTTTCACCCTGTGGGACAGGGAACAGAATGGGAATGGTAGGGAAAACCTCAACGGCTTTGGGGTGCTGTGTCTGCATTGTGCCCCACAGTCGTGGAGAACCCACGCCCCCAATTTCGTGCCCCAGGTCTCAGTTCCGAAGCCCTCAGGTCCAGGACACGAGCTGTAGCCCAGTTCAATGACCGCAGAAATGGCGCCCTTTGCACCCCCCTCCCGTGCCTGGGCGCTTGGTTCCTGATTACTCAGTGAGGGACTTTCACCACAGTGAGGGCCCCCGTGCGTCTCTTCACAAGCCTAGGTTGCAGGCACGGGGACTTGGGCAGCCGCGATCCTCATTTGCTTTTCAAGCGTGCCCCGCTTTTCCGTGCAAGCTTACCAGCTGGCCCAGGGCTGTGTGCAGGTCTCCAGAGTCTCTGTTGTTCTTTAATGGCGCCAGGAGCCGTTCGCTCACCTCCGCGGTGAATCCTGCAGGGTTCTCCACAGCTCCAGTTCACCGGGTGTGGTGGCTGAAATAGTTCCTTTCCACTCACAGTCCCGCTTGATGCGTAGTTTGTTCTTGTTGGTCGTTTTAGTTTTTTGTTTTTTTCCTCCTTTCTGTTGGTCTGAGAGTGCCGACTTTGTGGGTAGGGGAGGGTAGCAGGGTTTTTAGCTTTCCTCCCTTCTAGTCCTCTTTTATGGCAACTTTCTTCTCCGGGTAGTTTGCTGGAGTCATCTGTTTATCTTCCGTGTCCCAGTTCTCACTGGGACCTGCCGCTTTTCCTCCCTATTAACTTTTTTTTAATGGGAGATCTTACTCGCAGCGTCTCCTCTCCTGCATGTTGATCCGCCGCTCAGGAATTTTGATTTTGATTACTTTGAATATATAGATGAATTTGTGGAGAATCGACACTTCCCCATCCCCAATTATGTGATTTTCAAACCATGGATATGATAGAGTGTTACAATTACTTAGGTGCCTTTAATTACTTAAATTTAAACCTAAGCATTCTGTGATTTTAAATATTATTGCAAATTGTATACATTTAAAAAAATTTATATTTTTATTGATTTACCATTGGTTACCAAAATTTTAAAATTAAGTAAGGTATATAGTTGTATAGCTTCACATCTCAATAAATGTATATACCACACCATACCCATAACCAAAGTTCTAGTCCCACTTACCTATGCTATCAAGAGTTTTTTAAATTTCAATTTCCACTGTTTTTTGCATGCATATAGAAATAGAATTAGGTCCTCCCCGGTGGCGCAGCGGGTTGAGCGCAGCGCTATAAAGCTGTCCGCAGCCTCTGCAGCCCCAGTTCAATTCTCGGCCGGCCAGGGAGATGCCTACATTTTGAGACAGAGCTCTCCTGTCTCGCCCGCTGCTCCCCTCAGCAGTGTACTTTGGTCCTTCTGCCTTTTCTGTTCCCTGCTCTGTCCCTGGTGAATTCTCTCATCCTCCCACGCCTCTGTCCTGCATGCCAGTGCTTGTATAGATAAATAAATCTTTAAAAAAAAGAAATAGAAATAGATCATAAAAATTATTGATTCCATCCACTTTTAGCCAGCATAAAATTACTTTGAATGACTGAACTTAATGTTTGGAAAATAATTACAAAATGTTTAAATCAAAGTTATCAAATCATCCCAATAAATATATAAAAAGTGTTTACTTTTGGAGTTTATTCAGAAATAGAGAAATAACTATTTTTCAGTGTATACAAGTAACATAAAAATGATAGAAAAATATATCAAATATTGCTAAAAGTTTGGACAACATGGAGTAAAATAACATTTTTTAATTTTTCAATGATAAATCATATCTACCTATTTTATAATATCTTGCTTCCAGTCTCCACAATGGAATACCATTTTTAAACCACAAGTCACTAAAAAATCAGTTACTCATCAGTTAGTAGTCTTTGGAAATATCACTCTTGCACTAAATATATAGCTATATAAAAAGAAGGAAATAAAATTATATTTATTATGGAATCCTTAACAATTTTGAACACTGCCTTAATAACTTATAGAATTAATTTTAATATAAAATCTTGGAACTAAAGAATAATAATGACAAAATATTTTCTCAACAGCATTTTCAGTAATAAATGAGGTTATAATTATAAAATCTCTGTCTTATCAAATTCACAAATCTTTATTTTTCCAAAATTATGTCTTGAGGAGAATTGATAAGATGGAAAATACTTCCAATAAATGGGGAAAAATTAGAATTCTTATAATTACAAATACAAAGGTAAAGGATAGATTGTGACTTTTAGTGTTGACTTTAATGTAGTATATATGCATTCTTAGTGATGAACACCTGGAATACATATAATGGTATAATGCAAAGTTAATTCTATTAAAAAATAAGGGAGAAAAAAATCATATAAAAATGAAAAAAACTAAAGGAAATGCACTAAATTTTTAATAACTATTTTTATTAAAAATAAAAAGAAAAGATAAAGTAAAAAATACATCCAATATCATGTAGCTAGTAATAGATATAGTGAGGTTTCCAATCTAAGTTTGTTTGAATCCAGGTCATGGTCCTTTATTTTTAGTATTTTTATCAGTTTAATGGCTTGAGTATGAGTTCATCAGTAATTTCATTACCATCACTTTTTCTGTATGTAATGTATCTCCTTCAAATGAAGTGAAGTTAAAAATAACAGAAGAAAAAAATTATATTGTGGTTGTAATTAACTTAGAGACATACTCTAGTATTTTTGACAATGAATACAATTATTTATTTGATTGAGAGTACCTATTATTTAACTTGAGTATATTTGCTTGTAGACTTGCACTCATGAAAAATGCTGTCAAGCGGAAGAGTGTCGTCTAATTGGAAATGCAGAGTGTGGCAGTGGAGCATGCTGTAATAAAAAGACTTGTAAGGTAGGTTTTCAAGCTAGTACATTGTTTTCTTATATATGTCTTTTTGGTAATTGTACATTCAATTTTTAGATTTAAACTTTTCAATACATCAACAATTATATAACTTTATGTCCCTAGCTTATGCACAGTTGATTGCAGAATTCAGAGAACATCCTTATGTCTTTTTCAAACTCCTCCTTAACTCTGCCTTTCACTGGTTTCAGTTCCTCTGAAGACTCATCCAGTTATTGTATTCAATACCTAGCCCATATTATTTAAGCACTGTGAATTCATTTTGGTCATACCTGGGTGATCAAACAACTTATGACTAAATTACAAATGAACCCAAACACACTTGACACATAATTTTTTAATAAACAGAAAATAATGATTTTAAAATTTCATCACGAAAGTATCAGAAAAGGAATCCATGTGGAATCAGCAATGAGAAGCCTATCATAGAATGCACCTTAGTTTCGGCAAAATTTCCTGGTGCTGGAAGTGATTGAATTCTTGACACTTGGGAAGTTTTCTATTCAAATTTCATCTCCATATTTCAAAGAAACCTGTGTAGCTGACTTATAGATTGCTTCATTTTATTATTTTTTTTATTTTTAAAAGATTTATTTATTTTATACAAGAGCCGGGGCACAGGCCAGATGTGCGGGAGGGCGAGAGGATTTACCAGAGACAGAGCGGGGAACAGAACAGGCAGACTGACTGAAATACACTGCTGAGGGGAGCAGAGGGCAAGTCAGGAGAGGTCTGCTGAGCCGGGATTCTCTCCGGCTGGCCTGCCGGAATTGGACCAGTGCTGCACTCAGCGCCTGCGCCACCAGGGAGGCTCTAGATTGCTTCATTTTAGCATCCCACTTTTTTGTATCACTTTCAGGAGTTTATGGCAAGCATAAAAACTGATTAATTATAGATTTTCATTGCCAGATTTGTTTTCTCTCTGTCAGTGAAATCTCTCCAACCATTATTCTACACTGTTCTGTGTGTTTTCCTTTTCACTCTGGATTTGCACTTAAAGCCAATGGTTAATTGCTTTCAAGGTGCATGAATCTAGAGTTCAGCCTAGGGTTTCTACTTTTTAGCAAGAAAACTTTTTGTTTTTCCCTTGACAGAGGTTTCCTTTTGACTTTTGTCTTCAGTGGGATTTAGAAATAAGATTTTTCCGACTATGTTCCAAACTAGTTATTTTAAAGCAGAAGTAATTGTTAAATTTGGTCAAAAGAAAATTCACAGTAAAGGTTGATAAACTGGTCTTCAGAATAACAGTTGACTGTACTGTTAATTTACATTAATTTATTATTTTAAAGCATAGAATTTGGTCTTTTCTCCCATTTAAAGGCTCTTAAGTGTCTTACATTCTAATCTCTATTTTATTGATTATAAGCATGAGGGCTTCCAGTTTTGTTCAGTACCTACTTTCAGTTTGGTTAATCTCCACCAATGGTGATTTAAAATATAGCAATTTGATACAAATTATTTCCTATAATTTTTCAATTTAATAGATACAAGTCCAAGTGCAAAGATATGTTTGTTAAGACCTAGCAGTGAAAACTATGTCACTCTTAAAATTTTAATTGGTACTGCGTAATATGATTCTGTACTGGTAAGTTGTATATTGATGATTACTGGCCATGCAAAGAAAAGCAAACAAATATTTATGAAGTTTAAGTAAAAGATGATTCCAGCTTCATCGTCATGTGGATCTTTAAATAGGAACAGGGTTTTTATTCTATGCATTTATGGAATGTCCCTGATTTTTTGTCTTTTTTTTTAATATTTAATTTTATTTTTTAGATTTATTTATTTATTTATACAAGCACTGGGTACAGTCAGAAGCGCAGGAGGGTGAGAGAATTCAGCAGAGCCAGAGCAGGGAGCAGAACAGGCAGAGGGACGGAGGTACACTGCTGAGGGGAGCAGCGGGCGGCAGGAGAGGTCTGCGCGCCATATGGGACCCTCCTCCGGTGGCCGGGGAGCAGCCGGGGATCTAACCGGCGCTGCAGAGGCTGCGGGCAGCTTCGCAACCCAGCGCTCAACTGCTGCGCCACCGGGGAGGCCCATTTTTTCCTGTTTTTAAAAATTTATTATATATATATATATTACATCATCCTTCATTTTTGTACAATGTTTGATTTCCCCATGAAATTCCCACCACCAATTCACCCGTGCACCATCACCATAGTCCCTTATGCTCCGTCCCTGATTTTTTGTTGGTAGTTTCAAACAAGCCTCATCTCTCTAGGTGACACATATAACTTCTGACGGCTGCTGGTTTTTCTAGTCCAATAGAATTCAATGTTAAGGAAGATTAGCACTTTCCCAACATCCATCTCAATCCTTGGTACTAGAGACCCCTGACTAATTTTACTGAATTAAATTTCCCACCACTTCACCCATCGTTGTGTTAGGTAAAAGTATTCTGATGAACAACCTGAGTCATAATGAGATTTGTGTGGATTTTAAACCCCTCCTAGTAGAGGTGGAACAGGTTCTGAGAGGAAAGTTAGTTAAAATGGAAAAGATGCCCATTGAGCAATATTTTAGGTATATGGTAAAAACTAGCCCTGATTTAGTGTAATATTTAGGAGTATAAATTGATTCTCAAGAATCAAAAAGTGAAAAATAAATATGCATATTAATGTGTCAGTTATTTTCTATTTACCTTGCTGTAAATATGCAGGATAATCATAGCTTTTAACCAATGGAAATTTCATTAGAGACTTTTTTTTTGAAAAGTTGAGATGAAATTCATACAACATAAAATTTACCATTTTAAAGTCAACAATGCAGTGAAACCTAGTACCTTGACAGTGCACTTTGTAAACTACCACCTCCACCTCATTGCAAAGCATGTTCATCACTACACAGGAAGCTCCCTACCTATTAAGCAATTGCTCTTCTTTCTCCCTTCTCTTCAGTCTCTGACAATCACACCAATCTCTATAAATTTGTGTATTCTGGATATTTTATATCTGTAGAACCATTCAATATGTGAACATTTATATCTGACTTTTTACTTAATCTAATGTCATCTACCTTGAGGTGCTGTTCATCTATCTATGCACTCACAAGTGCATATTTTACTAGTGCTTTTAAATAAATTCATAATATAACTTTAAATAGTTAAAAGTATAATAATAATGCAAATGCAAATTGCAAAGCTCTTAGATTTTTTACATTTTTGTTTTACTACTGAAAAAATACATATTTTTTGTCTCACAGATAAACCCAAGAGGACGTGTATGTAGGAAAAGCACAGATCCATGTGACTTTGCCGAATTTTGTGATGGATTATCTGAGTTTTGTGTCCCTGATGTGAAATCTCTCGATTTAGAGCCATGTAATAATGGCACTGCCTATTGCTATAAGGGAATATGCAGAGATCCAGATAGACAGTGTCTAGAGATATTTGGAAAATGTAATATTTGTATCTTTTTTTCTGGCGGTTATTCTTAAATTTTTATTTCTTTATAATTAGAAATTTTCTAATAACATAATAGGGTAATAACTTTTGTCCTTAACATGGTTGCAAAATTTGTGAGGACAGGGACTTAGTCACCTGGACGTGTGTATATGTGTGTGTTTAATTGAGATATACTTAACATATCTTAACATACACAGATTTGCAGTGATCAGTTTGATGAGTTTTGACAATTGTATACACTCTGGTGACCACCCTGACTTGTTGAGTTAAATTTCCTACAACCTTACCAACACTGTGTCAGGTAGAAGCATTCAACCTGGATCATGAGATCGCTTCCATTATTCCAGAAAGATCCATTGTGTTTCTTCCTATCCTTCACCATATCCTCAACCTGAACAAAACAATCCCTTTCTGACTTCCTAACCATAGATTAGTCTATGCTTTGATTTCATATAAATTAAATCAGATGGCATACGGCATGTGGCTACTTTCCCTTGACGTGTTTTTGGGATTCATTCATATTGTGTGTGTATGAGTAGTTCATTCAATTGTTTTGTTCTAATGTCAGTAACCACTTTAACCATAATAAATGTCATTAAAAAATTAACTGTGAATAAAATTGTAAATCAAAGCAACTTTGAACAGTTTCAGAAGGTAAAATAGACCTCCTAGCTATAGGACAAAGGTACTAGGATAGTAGTCAAATTTCAAGTTATTGATGGTCAGAAAGTACAATATTAGAATTGCAAAGAGAGTAGTGACTGAAATCTCAGTCATTTCTGCATATGATACCAATATTCCTAATCTCAAGTAGGTATTTTTCAAGTGTTTCTTCTTGTATAATAAGTAGGCAAAACCAAAAATTGATAATAGATGACACTGACTAGGCATTCCTGTTGTCTAGATATCTTTATATTAATTTGTCACACTTTAATTTTAATTATTTTAATTAGGTGACTAATTGGAACTTTATCTTTTCAGTTGCTAAGGTTTCTTCTTATCTGTGTTCACAAGAAGTAAATATTCAAAATGACATATTTGGAACATGTGGCAGACCATGTAATTTTGAGTAGGTATTTAGAAATTATATATTTTCCAAATGCATGTTAATGTATATGTGTGTAATACAAAGCCTCTTAATACATATGTTAGAAGATGCAGTAGATATAATAAATTTATATGTTGCAGTTTATACTGACGTAAGTTCTGAATATAGTGTTGTGTTTATGGTTGTGTTTATGGTCTGAGTAACATTATTAAATTATCCTCATGTAGTAAACTGTATTCCCTACCATATTGCATTCCTAAGTGACAAAAGGGATATTGTTTCTGCCTTATCTACCAGGGATACGTTTTGTGGAAAGATAGTTTGTCACTGGACATTCTCACGGCTAGTACAATCAACAGGGTTTGATATTCAATATACTTACCTTGGAGGTCATATATGTATGTCTGCAAATGTAAGAAATAATTCTGTCACACTAAGAGATGTCACCTATGTAGAAAATGGTACTATGTGTGGTGAAGGAAAGGTAAGTAAAACAGTATGTGATTCTTGACTCTTTATAAAGTGAGTGTGTGTCTGAGTGTGTGTGCATGTGTATGTCTGTGTGGAGACAGAGAGACAGAAAGCACATACACAGAGAGAGCTTAAGATTTTCAAAAATTTATCATGAATGTATAAATTTTGGTTACAATTTGTGATCTTAAGGGACAAAAGACTGCCTTTCTGTTGGTGAAGGAAACACTTGCTTTATTGTCTATTATTTTTATTATGAATTTTGTTGTAGCTACTTAAACTTGTTTGCTCACACTTGAGAATCCAAGCCACTTCATTGGACCAGGATAGAGCCTGCAATAATTTGTTTAAAAAAAAGAAAAAAATACACCTGAAAAAGATAGAATACCCTGAATAATAGGAATAAAAGAAAACTACCCCTGCCCCCCCAAAATTCCAAGTATTTACTCCTGCTGTGACTGTCATGGAGAATTAATTTGGTTTTAATGAAAATACAACACTTATTATTACATAAACTTACAGCCCTAATTCTTCTTCCAAAAGTACCAAATATGTGTTAAAATATACATGTTAAAAATAATGCCCTCCTATAGGACACAATAATAAAACAGACTTTAAGATTGATTTATTTTTCTTTAAATAATTTGAGAAATAAAAAAATAATTTTTAAACAAGAACCAATAAAAATTAGTTGACTAATGAAAAAAACTACACAATGTACTCACATCTTAAAATTATTTACATTGATAAACATTATTGTAAGAAATAAAAATAAGAGGAAATGGAAGAAACCAGTAAACTTATCTCAAAATGGAAAAATATATTCTCATTAATAATAAAGAAGTAATCAGAAAGGAACATACTGGTACTAACTACTGTATAAAGTAATTGTCATCCTGTAAAGATAATTTAGAACAAACTGAAACATATGTTTACAATAAATAAGCATATTTTTGGTAGGATAACATAATATGGTATGATAAACACATAAATTTATTATTAACCAGTAATTAGAAAAGAAACACTAAAATGGTACATATTTGTATATGGTTTAACACCAAATATAATTTGGGATTTTTTCCTAGTTTTTGGCACAGAGTTCCTAAACTCCTTAGAGTTTTCTGTGTGAATGAAATGTATTTTTTTATTCATAATAAACCCCTTCCAACAAAACCTAAGTGTATGTTAATGATGTGAGTTAGGGTGGAAACTCTAGGCTTCAGGGATGGACTGGTCATTGAAATGATCAAATAATTAAAGGCTGGATCTTCTAGACACATTTATAGAAGGGGAGTGCTGGGGCTGGTGATTAAATTCATAATAGTTACTAAACTTTTGACTTTACATTTAAAGTTTTTGTTGTTGCTTGTTTTAACATTTTAGTATTGTGAAAATGGAGCTTGCTTAGCTATCCAAAGCACCAGAAAGAATATTACGTGTGACTCAAAGGAAAAATGCCAAGGACATGGAGTATGTAATGGTTACACTAATTTTTAAGTATAGTTATTTTAGTTCATGTCAACGATATTTTGCAGCATAATAAGATTTAGAACATTTTTTTGTGGAATTTTTAAAACTGGTTTTTTTGGAAATGGATATCATTATTTATGCATATGTACCTAATTGAGGTGTTTAATCAGATTGTTTTAGGCCTCATGAGCTAATAAGCTTTGAAGTTTGTATAAAAATGCAATACGAATTATTCCCTTATTGTAATGTTAGTTTAGGATAATGAAATTTTGGAAGTCGATTTAATAAGGATTTCACATATATGTTTATACATACATAAACACATAGCTTCTAATTTATTATATATGTATTGACATATAATCAAACACATACTATATTTATATTACACACATTACTTATGATCTAATATTTTTATGGGAGTAGTTTCTTGTCATTCAAATTTATTTCATCTTTCTAAGGCTTTAATTTATTTCCCTATAACTTTGGGTACCTTGGAGGTGGGAGTGATGTAGGGACTACATGTGAGGGGGTTACTCCTGTAGTCCCAAAACATTGGCAAAGATGTAAAACAATGGTACCTTAATAGCAAATTAAGGTGATAGAAGTATATTTTTCTTATGTACTTCTTCTGTACGATACTGGAAAAATATAGTATACTATCCAAAAAGTATACTATCCAAAAGTATACTATCCAAAAGTCTTTGGATAATATTACATTTTTACTTAGCTATCTATATTATTGTAAATAGTGATACAATGGACTCTGCTATATATTCACCTATAAACATTTACCTGATTTATTAAACTGCAGTGAAATCTGAGAGGTCAAATAGTACCCCATTTAAATTTTCTTAAATGTCATATTGTCTTCCAAAAATTATTATACCACTTTTTGTTCCTGCTTATCGTGTATCAATATATTTCCTCATTTGGCCATAATAGCTTCCCAGTCTTTTTAATCTCTGCTGATGTGCTAAATTCATTGTTGATTTGCATTTATTTATTAATTGATAATATAGTTCTTAAATATGTATTGTCATATTTGCCATTATCATTTCCACTAAATATCATTTAGTGGAATTATCATTTAATGGAATTATTTCAAATGCCATTATCATTTCCAGTAAATAATCCATTTAAATTTTGTAAACTTTGTCTTTCTAAGCAATATTTGACTTTAACTTTGTGGCTAGTGCCTCCTGCCATATTGAGACTTCACATTTTATATAGTTATCCAGGAAAAAGTATGTCTGCTTCTCCTTTCAAAACTTTCTCCGAAATCACTTTCATGTGCATTTATTCACAATTTATTTTACTTCATTTCTTGTTTAATTTTAATTTTTTTATTTAATTTTTGCATGAGTCTATTTCTGGATTCTCTGTAGTACTTTTTTATCCTTAATTCTTTTTATCTTCCAGATGACATTTATGGATTTTTTCTAGCAAAATATATTTTTCCATCTGTGTGAAATTTAGCAAGATTTTCACTTTAGGTTTTTTTCCCTAACTTTTTGTAAATGTTGACTTACCTCTGCTAATTTTACCTCAGATAATTCTTTTTTATTAAATTTTTTATTGCAATAACATCCACTATAACTATCTAAGTTTTAGTTGTACGGCATTATAATTTGATTTCTCTATTTGCTACATCATTATCACCACCAAAAGTCTAGATTCTATTCCCCATCATAAAATTTATCACCTTCACCCACTTTATCCAACCCTCAAACCCCTTCCTTTCTGGTAACCATCAATCTGTACTCTGTATCTAAGAATTTGTTTTTATTTTGCTGTTTGTGTTCATCTGCTTTTTTCCTTTATATTGTACATATGTATGTAGTCATAAGACATTTGTCTCACTCGTTCTGACTTATTTCACTAAGCATAACATCCTCTATTTCCATCCATATTGTTGCAAATCTTTTGTATAGCTGTGTACTAGTCTTGTACACACACTAGTCTTGTGTACACACACTAGTCTTGTGTATACTAGTCTTGTAAAGTCTGTGTACTTGTCTTTATCTTTTGTATAGCTGTGTACCAGTCCCTTGTGTACTTGTGTGTATGTGTGTGTGTACATACCACAACTTTTTCCATTCATCTGTAGTGGACTTCTAAGTTGTTTTAATGTCTTGGCTATTACAAGTAATATAACAAACCTAAGAATGCATATACATTTTCAGTGTAGTGTTTTGTTTTCTTTGGATAAAGGCCCAGAAGTGGAATAGCTGTATCATATTGTATTTGTATTTTTAATTATTTGAGGAATACCCATACTGTTTGCCATAGTGGCCACACCAGTTTACATACTCACCAGGCGTGAACATCCTTGTTAAAAGATATGTCTTACTTTTGGCAATAGCCCAGTCAACAGGTATTATGTAATATTTCATTTTGGTTTTGATTTGCATTTTCCAAATAATAATTGATGATAAACATCTTTCATTTGCTTGTTTACCCATTTTTTAATCAGATACTTTTTGTTATTGCATTGGATGAGTTTTTTAATTCACAACTGAAGTTCAATTCTATGCATTCAAGTCTTGAATCAATACTAAAATAATTTTAGTGTATGGTAAAATATAATGATCTAGTTACATTCATTTTTATGCTGACCAATATCCCAACACCATTTATTCAAGAGAGTTTTCTTTCTCCCTGTTTGAACCTGACTCCTTTGTGTGATTTTCTCCTGTAATCTCAGTTTTGTTTAATAAGTCTTTTTATTTTTTATTATTTCTATACCAAACTGTTTTGCTTACAACAATTTTCAGTTTTTACCCCCTGAGGTAACATTGTCTTACAACAATGTATATATGATTTAGAGGATCACACCCTTCAGGTGTATGTTACACAGCACACCCAACCCCAAGTCACCCAAAGTCCACCATATTCCATTGTGACCCCTCCCTATTAAACTCTTTACCTTCCCTTCCTCCTCTGGTAACCTCAATTCTGCAATCATATTTCTATAATTTGTTGTTGATTTGGCTTTATCTCACTCACTGTTACATTCCACATAAAAGTGACATTATTTGGTATTTGTCTTTCTCCTGACTTATTTCTCTTAGCAAAATCCCCCCTGGTTCCATCCATGTTCTCACAATTAGTAAGAATTTGTCTTCTTTTCAATGGCCCAGTAGTGATCCATTGTGTATGTGTACCTCATCTTCCTAATCCACTCATCTGGATTTGGGTACTTAGATTGTTTCTATAACTTGGTGTAGGGTAAATGGTTTTTCAGGCTTTTCTGTCCTCCCACCATTAGGATTGTGCTGCCTGATGGGGCATGTGCAGTTACATTGTTGCAAGCTGTGTTGTTTACTTCTGTGGGCCATGGGAGGAGTACTGATAGTCACTGAGAGAAGCAGGAGCTAAGAGGCAGGACAGAGAAGCCCAGGTGAAGACTTGCTGGGGCCTTGGAGGCCTATTGGCCTCCTGGCCCCCTGGCCCCCCTGCCTGCTGTGTACCTCTTTGCCACACTACATGTAAAGCTCACGAAAAGCCTGTTAAAGCCACCAAGGGCTCCAGGACTCCTTTACCCGGACAGTCTGCTCAGATCATAGAGAACCTGCATTGTGCCTATCCTGCCACTACACTTGGCTATTGTAAATGATGCTGCAATCAACAATGGTGTGTCTATATCCTCTCAAATTGCTATTTTTGCTTTCTTTGGATAGATACCTAGGAGTGGAATTGCTGGATCTTATGGTAGATCTATTTTAAAATACTTGAGAAATCTCCATACTCTTTTACATGAGTGTTCAACCAGTCTATATATCTCAAAGAGTGTATGTGGGTTCCTTTCTCTCCACATCCTCACCAACACTTATTGTTTCTTGGTCTTTTTGATATGAATCATTCTCACAGGAGTGAGGTGGCATCTCATTGTAGTTTTGATTTGTATTTCCTTGAGAATAAGAGATGATAAGATTTTTTAGCCCTTATGTATCATTGCCAGTCTTTTCTTACTGGCAAAGATTTTGATGAGAAACACACTGATATTTTAATGGGTTTAAATTGTTGTATTTAAGATTTTGTCTTTATCTCAAACTTTTGACATTTTAACTATAAAATGTCTTTATTAGGGTCTCCTTGGGGCTATTTTGTTTGTAAGTCTCTCGGCTTCCTAGAGTTGGTTGTTTCGACTAAGTTAGGGCATTTTTCAGATAGGTGTTCTAAAATATTTCCATTGCTACTGGAGTAGAATCCATAAATATTTCTTTAAATAGGTTTTCTGTCCCTTTATCTCTCTCACTTCACCCTCTAGAATTCCTGTAATTTGTGTGTTAATCCATTTGATATTGTCCAAACATTTCCAGATGGATTTTTTTCAATTCACTTTTCTATTTTTAGCTTTGTTCGTGTGAGATCTACTATTTTATCTTTTATCTTGCTTGTCCATTCCTCAGCTTTATCAAGATTGGCTTTAAATTCCTCTAATTTTTCAGTTCAGGTATTGCATTCTTCAAACTTGTAACTTCTGTTTGGAATTTTCTGTCTATTAGAGATCAATTTTCTCCTTTATTTTCATTACTTAGAATTCTTTATCTTGTACATTGCATATGTCTATTTTACTAAGTTTTCCTGATGTTTTTATCTTATACTTTATTTGGAACATTCCTCTCTTGTTCACTTTACTTAACTGTCTTTGTTTCTATATATTAGGTGAAACAGCAGCCTCTCCCAATCTTGAAAGAGTGGTCTCATGTATCGAAACTTATCATTCAGTGTTGCCATATATTTTGGTGGTTTCTAGAACATTTGTCGTTTGACTAGGCTATCTGGATTATTCTTGGTAGGTCCCTGCTGTTGACGGTTTGCTAAGACCTGCCAGAGTTCCAAGAGGGATCTCCTTTAGCATCTAGTTTCAAGCTGGACTCTAGACCCATAGGTATATGCTTTTGTAGCATGCCAATATGTATGGTTCTGTGGGGCCACGGTTATAAACTCTACTGGTATGCAGTACTGGTAATATGGAAGTGTCCTCCTGGGGAAAG